CACATCACATAATCAAATACCGCGTTTTTCGAAATTTTATAAACAAGCATTTAATATAAATGGCTTGACACTTCCATGGCACCTTATAAACGAAGAAGAATCACTGGATGATAAAGTGACGATTTGCACTAACTTAATCACAGCTCTATGACCGGCATGCGCCTTTAAAAATTTTGCGTGTAACTCGTCGTCTTGCGCCATGGTTAACTGATGAAATTCGAAATTTAATGAAAGATCGTGATGCAGCGTATACCATTTTCCTGAAAACTAAATGCGAACTACTTAAAAAACAGTAAAAAATGCTCAGAAATTTAGTTACGCAGAAATGCCGCAACGCTAAAATAAAATATTACCACACCACCTTCGGCAGAAACAGCAACTCGAGAACGACTTGGAAAAGTGAAAAATTTTGGAATAGGGAAAGGTCCTCCCCAAATTAAAACGAATAGAGAGAATTACTAAATCATAGTTCATAAATAACGTTCCTTCATTTGACAGTAACTTGAAAAGGCACTCTCTTTCGTTTCTCCAAAACTCAGCAATAAAATCCAACAATATTTTTTTTTCTTTTCGTCCGTTGAACATCAGGATAAATCAAAATCGTTCAGTTTCAAATCAAATGCTTCAGGTTCCGATGGTATAAATGCCAAACTGCTAAAAAATAGACTAGATATGACATATCCAATCAACACCGAAACAGTAAATTTCTCACTAATGAGCAGACAATATTCCTTATCCTGGAAGGCTGGGCTAGTTCATCCTATTCCCAGCCCAGCGTGAACCACAAACCCTATTGAATACCGCCCAATTAGCATCCTCCCAACTATTTCTCAAGTGCTCGAAAAAGTCGTCCGGAAGCAAACTGAACAGTATATATATATATATATATATATATATATATATATATATATATATATATATATATATATATACATATAGTGATAGATAGTTCTGTTTCTGATACAACACAGAAACAGAACCACACATATACATAGAAGAAAACTGGAAATTATTATTTTCCTTTCTAGAGGTTCACGATTTGGGCCCGGTGTTGTAGGTTCCGCCTTTGCGACAGTCTGCTTTTGCCTGACATGTGCATTTCTTTGCCTGGGTTGAGTAGCCAATGGATTCGCTGCGGTTATTTGCTTCAACCGTAGAGTTAAGAATTTACCTTTTCTCCTCAACCTGTCATCAACGCAGCTGCACCGGGAATATGTGCAATAGCCTAGAAGTGTATGCTGATTTGAGACGAGCGAGAAACATCTCAATCGACTTCGGCTGTAGTGAACTTAAGTCACTGGTCCCGTTTCACTTCGATTACAAAAAACATAAGAAGATACGGTTATAGTAAACCTCGGTTATAGGAAATAAAACGACCAGGAAATTAATTCCCTCCTGGAAAACAATATATCGCATCAGTGCTACAAATTCCAACACTAGGTAGCTTGAATAAAGGTCATATTCGGCCAAAGGTCATAATCGAAGCAGTCTCCCCTGAAGTGAACGTAGCGGCTCCGGAATGGGGACCGTACTAATGATCTCATGCCACTCAGTTTCAAGTTTGATGTTACGTGTTGTTCCGCAAATCAAAGCACATTATATTGTAGGACGGTGACAGAAGGCGCGGCGCGGAAAAGCAATCAGTTTCATTCCACTTGCGCCATTTTTCTACTGAAAGGATGCCGTATGTTATTAGGGGAGTAAAACGGCCTTCGAAGAGGGGGCTTCCAAAATGCAGGAGGCATTGAAGGGTGGCAAGACTGAATTACGATACTTAGGAACAGTACACATTGCAGGATAAAGTACGGCAAAAGCACGAATGCTGAAGAACAATCTAGAGAAATTATGTACAAAGCAAACAATTTAAAACTATTGAATTTTAAAAGGGCAAATAAACATATTAAAATTTTCACTTATAGCTGTTAATGTACTTTGCTGTATCCCTATATAAATAAAATCAATCGATGTGGAGAAATTCTATTTAATTTTGACATCTTCGGAGAGTGAACTTCTGATATAATGAATTAACGTTAGTCCAAAGAAGTTCACTATAACCATAGTCCACTGTATTAACTTGCAGAGCTCATGTTCGGTGTGATTGCGGTGAGTAGTCGATTGCTTATTCGATCACGAAATATTCGAATGTGGGGAAATTGAGGACAGTAATTGCGTTTTGGTACAACAAATTTAAAAAAATGAGTAATTAAAATAAGACAATTTCACAAAATAACTTATTTTGGGTTGTTTTAGGGGGAAATTAAAATGCGTATCCAACGCCCATTTAGGACATTTTAGGCACTAAGATGCTTTCAGTAGTTCTATTTTTTCATGATTCGAAAACATTTATTATTTTCCTCAACCCCTTAAAGAAAATAAATAGGCAATTGCCCTAATATACGAGGTCTAGTAATAAGGGACGGAGAACATATGGTGCTAGTGCAATTTTCGACATTCTCACTGGGTTTATTTTCTTCGAAAATTGCACCAATTTATATTTGAAAATTACAAATTTGAAGATAGAGATTTTTACCTCAGGCAAAGTCTGTTCTAATATATCAGCTCTTTAAAATAGGTCACTAACAATATTTTTTGAAAAAATAGTAGTTTTTGAGTCAACTGAGCTTGAAATTTATGCAATTTGAAAAAAATCTTATTTCTCAAAAACCATTTCAATTTTTTTCCCTTTGAATTTTCCCACGGATAGAGAGACATTTAAAAGATGTGTGCAATTCTTATTTTCGTTTAACTCTCCTTATTTTTGAATATTGCAAAAACTTAACGTTTGGAAACTGCTCTAAAATGATCAGCTCATTACAAAAGGTCATGTACATTTGTTTGAAAAAAGTAGTTTTCGCGAAATTTCTGCCTGTAATTAATGAAATGCCGAGTGTTTATTTTATGTTTCGCCGAAGATGGCGCGGCACTTGCCTCAGCGATCGCCCTCGGCTTTCCAGGGACTTGTCAACAAGGTCCACATTCATTCGTTCGTCGTTCGGCCCGGCCGGCCGATACACCAGTCTCGAGAGCGTTAAAATGTGCATCATGAAATTTACTTTGAAACGGAGAACATTTTTTACGACACTTTCGTTCGACGTCTGCCAGTAAAAGCCGCAAAAGGTTTATTACGAAATTTCCGGGGTGAATTGATCTACAATTTTGAAGCTTGTAAAGAAACTTTGCACCCATGGAATTTTAATTGACAAACATAAGTGTCAAAAGCGCCACATATCCTGAGAGAAGAGAAGGTGAAAAATATCTCTGCCAGGTCGCAACAATCTCCAAGAAAATCCTTGAGGCGTCTATTGTTACTTTCAACAGGAATCGCCAACTGCCCCTGTTTGATCCATGAACTTTTTAAATAAAGGTTTTTGTGACGATCGAATGAAGTCGTGGGTTATGGCCTCCTAGATCATCTGATCAGCCTCCTTGTGACATTTTACTTGGAGGACCTTGAAATATCAAGTGTATGCAGAAAACCAGCATTCGGAGGAAGAGCTCCGGCGCTCTATTGAAGAGAAAATCGCAGCAATTCCTCGAGACTTACTTTAAAGGGTAAATTAGAATATGTTCCGGAGGTGCCTATAATGCATTCTAGCACCATTCGAACATTCTAGGACCCCAGTATCCACCAGACTTTCAGTATCACTTTCACACACCACTTTCTGTATCTTCTTTAAGGTAAGTTAAGAGGCGCAGCGATAGTTGTAAATCAGCACGCACGTTGGGTCAGTGTTTCGCAGGGCAAATGAGCCCTCAACTGTCCGGGCGATACGGCCTGAATCTTCGGCGAACGATAAAATAAACACTCAGTATATATAGGAGTCCCACCAACTATGTGCCACGAGAATATCCATGGAAGAAAGGAATGGATCAAAAGGATACGAAAATTAAATTAATTTTAATTTACTACTGAAAATTATAATATTAATTCGCTTTTTATTCTATTCTACAATTTGTATTTTCAATGTACTGATGTGTTCTCCCTCAAGCAATCCGTAAACCTTAATTGAAATTAGCTTAATTATGTTTTCTCCTTAAAATTACCATTTAAATGTAATATGACGGATCAATTGAAAAACACGAGTACCATATTTTTTTACGAACTTTAATTTCACTTTAATTTTATAATACTACCGTTCACTACTTGGGTAACAATATCGTGATGGATATTTGAGAAGTTCATTGTTGAACAGCGACACCACGAGAAAGATAAGGCGGTTTTATTTACTTAACGTGAGTGTTACAATGTTCTCTAAGTGCATTAAAGTGGTATATTCAAATTTATTAAAGCCGGGAAGAATGTATGAACAAATAATATTTTTTCTTTAAATTTTCTCCTCACATTTAATAAGACGGGAAAAATTTGGTTCTAGTCCCATTTTCGGCAAGCTCTCCGGTTTTTGAAAACTGCAAGAAGTTTGCATTTCAAAGATACAAAATTGAAGATAAAGATTTTTTAAAAATCATCGCTTTAAAACAGGTCATGTACAATTTTCTTTTTAAAAACGATGTTTTCGCGAAATTTGTACTTGAAATTTATGCAATAAAAATTTTCCTTAAAAATAGGTCCATTTTTTTCTTTAAACTTTTTCTACGGATAGAAAAAGGGACGCTTAAAACAATGGCGTGAGTCACATTTTCGTTGAACTGTGAATTTTCGAAAATTGCAAATTTAGAAATGCGAGAAAGTATATGCTGTTGTAGCACCACTAGTTTAGTATTGGTAACAAAATAGTAACCCATACCCTACCCATGCCAGACTCTGCTCCTACCACAACTCGAAACTGTTTACCAAAAGAAGTATTTATTTTGCTTCGCTTACTTATCCTAGCTTTATGAGCTGTCACATTATGTAAGGAAAGACAACCAATAATAGATAACCCTACACAATACTCGTTTAACAAAATCTTGAACTCTTTCTTTGAGTCCTGTCTTGAAATAAATTAATCTAATGAACCATACTGTTGGACAAATTTGATTTTTACTCAAATCCAACTTACCTGTAAGTACCCTCATCAGTCAAGTGAGTATCGAGCAAGTAGAGATCTCCTGAGTCTAGAGCAAGAGTCCTACAACAGAAAAAAATTAAATAGCATGAATTACACATCATGAATACAGAAAACATTTTGAGAAATCATCTGGAGTTTCAATATAACAAAAGCACAAATGCATTAATTCAAACGAAAAAATACCTGCTATTTTGAGGTAGTGGTTCTCTATTCCTTTCCCAAGTTATTACAGCTTTGGGAACAGAATCAATTTGGCACGTGAATCGCACAACATCACCTGCCTTGGCTGTTGTATTGGTTGGAAAGTCGTTAAAATTATTTCCAAACACTGAAACAAAATTAACTTACAATGAATCTTGCTAAAAATACTAGACAAGTAACAAACTCAATGGCATTTCCTCAGACATATCCACTAGAAAAGAATGAAACATAGGAACACTTTAAAAAACTGTTTTTTTCTATACAAAAAGATTTTGCCATTCAAACTTTTGAAGATACATACATATATGAAAGCACACACACACACATACGCACAAAATATCATACATTACAAAATATTAAATTTATACGACATACGACTCGTACATTATTACTCTCCTTCGTCAATATTTATGTAAACATAAAATTACAATTCATCGCAATGAACTAAAAATCTGAGGTGACTAAAGGAAAAATCCTCTAATAAGTTAGCAACTTTGAAACCATACATTTTTGGAAGTTTTTAGGTGGTTTAAATTCAATAAACAAATATTATAGAGGATTACGTAAACTTTTTGAATAAATGTTTTGAAAATTGATAATGCATTAAGTATAGAAATTTTATTAATAAATACATACAGTTTTAATTTCATTTAAGGTCTTATTAGCAGCTGAAATTACGTTTTTTCCATGTAGGAAAAATCGAAAAAATAATATTAACTAGTGCTGTTATAAAAACCACATGTTTTTAATTAGTATATGAAAAATCAATTTTAAAAATTGTCGCATATCTTGGTACCTAACTCATGTTCGAAGTTAAGTAAAACATGCCGATTAAAAGTATTACCCACCGTTTTTTTAGATATACTCCTTCAACCATTTATATATCACGAGAAAAAATTTGGTTAAATGGAGTACTAATAAATGTGAAATTACCTAAGGAAATAAATTGAATCACATGACAAGCACACTACATAGTAATATATATTTCAAGATATAGTACATACATAAAATCCATACACACTGAAAATACTAAATCTGAGGTGTATTTGGTTTGAATGTCTTGGCTGTAGAATTGCGTATGTGCTACGCATTTGGCACGTCATGCTGAAGTGTCCAGGAGTAGTCAGCCAACATTGCTGCAATCCATTGGCTCTGATAAGTTACTTCACTCCATAAACGAGATTTCCTGATGAAAACCATGTTCGTCACTGACCAAATCTAGGTTTTCAAAGAAGATGTGAATTGAGGAGATGCATTTCGAGAGACATGTTGATACCCAGCTCTTTTGTAGGCACTGATGCACTTCTTCAGATCATTAACACAGCAGATTTATAATTTTCAAAGAAATTGGCTGCAAGTGATTTGAATGCCATCTATGCACTTTTTTCAGTATCAGTAAGTTTTGGACAAGACTGACAACAATTACCTTCTTTATTTGTGAACCTGTGAACATATTTTCTTTCATTTCCGCATAACTTAACTCTGGAAACTTGTTGCACAGATACCGAAAAGCATCCGAGTCGTTGTCTAGTGCCTTCACGAAATTTTTCATGAGTCGCAGCTTAATGTGAAGCAGTGGCATGATTATGTTGTAAAGGTCAATCAATGGCATCAGAAGGACTTTTTTATTTCTAAAGTGCGTTCTAGTTTTGATAGGACAATTTTTTATTTATATAGTGGTGATTTCTATCTCTACTGCCTACTCGCCGATAAAACAGCAGTACTTGATGACCCCTGTCATGCGTTCCCATGAAAATGGTGATTTTTAAACAGATATACAATATATACTCAGCAGATATACAACATTCTAATCATAGATATACAATTTATACTCAGCGTATCTTTTTCTTCAAAAAGAAGGGAGATAGTTTCATAAGTATTTTCAGGTGGGTAGGATATCTAACAGTACTGATGCATATTTGTTTCCATTTTGTAATAATACTGCTTTCAAACTTGTTTTAGTTCAGTCGATGAACAATCGCCAAGCTTTAAGCCTCAACCCAAGCCCAAAGCTTGTCGAGAGGCCTTGAACGGCCGCACAGTAGCAAATACAATTACTCATTGCAACGTAATGCGATATCAAAAATGCTTTGGAATATTACCTTAAATATACATTTTTTCACAGACGACGAAAATATTGTGTGGCGTAGCGTGAAAATGCAAAAAAAAAGCTTGTTTATCAGTATAATGAATACCTAATATTAAAGTATCGCACCATCTGTTCTACTTTGCAACGCAACTGACATAACTTCCAAAACCCACATAATGCAACACAAAATGACGTCAAACTTGCATGGAATTAAATAAAAGTACTAATATTGAAAGAAAGAAAAAGTAAGAAAAAAGGAAATGACTAGTGGCGCTAGAACCGCATATATTTTTTCGCATTAGTAACGACAATTAATATAATATATCAAATTCTGTTCATATGAACACAACTCGGTCATCTCTGGTAAAAGAAGGCGGATTATAACGTAGCCAAAAATGATCAATAAAATGCTTTTTAAATGCTTTAAATGTCCGAAAAGGAAAGAAAAAATTGATAAAAACAATTTTTGATGAACAACTCAAACTGTTGGGTACATTACTGAATAATAGAGGCATCTTCCTTTCGTTCAGTGAAGTGAAGTCAGCTTGCAAACTTCTGATGCGAACTGTTCTTTACCAGGAAATCTGTCTTCAGTTATCCTGAAGTCATGTGACAATGGCGCTGAAAGGAGTCTGAGGAACCTTAGATTACATATTTACAACGGCTGACATCAGTTTCTGAATGAAGAAATAGAACAGACTACAGAGTAATTCTGTGGAGAACAAAATTTGTTGCATCTCGGAAATTGTAACATTATTAAAAACTATGACATCAGTGAAAAAGGCTTTTAAAATGAGGGGGAAAATACTTGTAAGTCGAAATCGACGAAAAAGGGGAAAATGCCATATAAACATGGGTCATTTGCTTTTGTTATATCATAAAATTAATGTCTACCCTACAAGGCATTGTTCTATAGTGAAAAAAAAATACAATTCATTTAATTTCATCTTATCATTCTCATTACCAATTATAGCACATTAAGTGCGAAAACTAATTATATTAAAGCCAATTCATCAATACAAATTCGACAGCCCAAAGCAGCGTTCCATGCAGCCAGAAACCAGAGGTAGCTCGTGCAGCTTGAAACGTTTACGCTCCGCGTCACAATTTTCTTGCAATAACTGCCAATAAGATACAAGAAATTAAACCCCACGTTTACTGCGAGTCTCCAAGTTTACGGAGCCTTGCTACACCTTCCACATCAACGTGAGAATTAACAAGTGGATCTCGGCGATGACGAGGTGGGGCTTCGCGGGGTGGATGTCTACGTGTTGTTAATGAACGCCAACAGGAGACTTGCTGTGAAAAGGTTCAACGCGTCCGACAGATGGCGATAGCGTCCAGCGAACTCCAAATTTGAAGTTCCAGCATCTCCCCTGCACCTTTGCCCAACGCGTCTTTTAACAGAAAATTTAGTCCAGATGTATATGAAAAGTACGAGTGGGATAGACGGTGGCGATAATAACTAGTGGTGCTACAGAATGGCACAGATAATCCCGTATTAGTTTTCTATTTCCTTTGGTCTCGGCTTGCTACTCGGACTTGCCACACACTGCTGCTAATTATCGCCGCCGTAAGTATATTTTTTTGCAATTTTCTTAATTTTTTGGTTTCTTAATAGTAAAACGGAAATGTTATTTTCAGAATATTAAAGAATAGCAAAATCTAATCATAAATAGCAATTTTCTTTGAAAAATTTGGAGTCTAATGTAAATTCAAAATTTGAAGCTCTTTTTTACATTAACTCACAGATTAAATTGTGTTTACAAATAGCTGGATGTGTGCATATCAACAGCGTGAAGGATCTTCGAAAAATTGTATTTGTGTACTTTTTTAAAAAACAAAACAAAATATCCCGAAATTAACTTTAGGTCTTATTAAAGAGTGCAATTAGAACTATCCGTTCGAAAAGTTTGAAGAAAAAATTTACAGCCATTTTTTAGAAAATGGCGTTTGAATACAGGACAAGCAGGCATAGGGACGTTTTGAAAAAAAAATTGATATAACGGGACCCAAAAACGCAGCATTACATAACTTTCCCAATACTACGTCTATTACTCCGTACATAAGTACATCTACGGGAAAGTAAAAAGGCGTTTAAGAGGCTGGTGTGTTCCCAAGTTTGATTACCGGTCGGGCAAGCGATGTAGCTCTCCTTTAAAATTGTCTCAATTCTGTAATTGCGTGACGAAGAAAGAAAGCTCGGGAGTATGCTCATTACGGTGATGCGAATACGTGAAGTTCGCCACTCTCACCCCGTGCCCCCACGCGTGAGAAATAAACTTGACCCACAATGTGTAATTTCAGGCATCTAGCTCGTAAAAAATCATTTTCGACCCGGTTCCTATAAATTTTTGGAGTTGCTCACACTATTCTCCAATATCCAGAGCATCTTGCAACATTGTTTAATGTTTGGGATCGCATTAGGGCCGGTGAAACCCTTCGGTTGTTGGGGTTCGAAGAAGGTCCCTGCGCGCCCTCAATAGGTTGTAGATTTAGATTTATTCAGTAAAATAAATAATAATAATAATAATAATAAATAATAATAAAAAAATTAAAAAAACATTGTGACGTAGAGGGGAAAATTACCTGCGCATGTTTACTTGAGTTCAAGAATCCCTTCCCGTCATTTTAACTGTAAATAGTTGAAAGGTGAGTAAAGTTTAACATAAATAAATAAAATTTAAAGATCATAAGATAAGCAATATTTGAAAAATAGTCATTTTCGTTTCTGAGATATAGAAAATCGGTTAACGAATTGCAAGTATGATTTTTCTGCATTGCTAACAAAATAGCAACTACCCCTTACCTCTACTCTACCATTACAAGCAAAAGGAGAGTTCAACAAAACGTGCCCATAGTGAAGCTACATGTACATTCTTGGAAACATAAAATTTCGCGTCGAAAATGCGTTGGCTCGAGAGGTTGATGGCGCTGGACATCCCTGCTTGACGACAGCGCTATCTAACGTTTATTTTTGAAACTACGTTCTGTAGATAGAAACTATAATTAAATTTATTTTATTGGAGAGTGTATAAAATACTTTAATGATCGTTGAGAGCTAAATAGTAACAGTACAGAGGAAAAAGACTTTCGTGATTCCTGGCAGTAAAACAGAACTGACATTAACTTTGGTAAACGTGATTTTGCTTTAAAGTTTCGTTAATATAAAATGTGTTGTTATAAGAGGTGTATTAGAAGGGCGAAAGAATGGCTCAGTGTCGAAGTGGTGTTCTAGAACTCGTGAAGTCGCGGGTTCTGTTCCCGGTCTACGTAGATATTTTCTTCATTCTACAGTGCCATATAATCCACTAAATTACAACATGCTAAATATGTCGCGTCAATGTTATGCATAATTGAAGCAAAATTCTCGATTGCAAATAAGGAATTCAAACAAGCAATTCTCAAAAAGCGGTAATACTCGTAAGAGAAGAAAATAAAATAAGCTTCTATAATCTTATAGATAATAATCTTAAATTGCGAATAAAAAGAACATTAAAATATTGCGTATTATGTTCATTTTTACTCGAATAAAACCATGAAATGGATCTCCTAAAAGCTCGGAAACACACTTCGTTTAACAATATAAAAAAATTATAGTGATATACTCACAAGAAAATGTGACTTGTTTGTATCTGTAAATAATTCATTAAATCCCGTTTGGACATCTTTTGTTTGCTTTGATATAACTTTTATTTCTACTATACTACTATATATAAATAAATTTAAAAAATTCTGTGCATAGACTCCCATATGTTATTGATATATAATGTGAATAAAGATGATGGAACTGTTGATGTTCTGTAATTACAATAATTCTTAGTGTGACAAGGCTTTGATATCCAATGTCTACACTGAAGTAGATAAAATGGTTTTGATGATAAATGTGGCTCATTGATTCTGATGATGCGATCTTTCTGAGATCCCTTGCCTTCATGTGCGAGACCTTAGTTATAAGGATATTGAGATTTCGTAGCTGTGAAGTAAAAAAAATTCAAAATACAATTTGCCGAAAACGAATTTTTAAGGGAAAATATTCCTAGAGTTTGTCATGCTATTGAAGTTCATTACAATATCAAACATCTATTTCAGATGTAAGTAGAAATCAATTATGTGTATTGAACGTTTTTTATGCACAAAAAATATAATACAGATTGTAAATAACAAATAATGGC